GTCGTGTTTACGGGCCCCCCCCCCCCCCCCCCCCGTCAAGTGAAGGCTACCAGCACACACACACATATATAGAGCTTGCATGACCCTCCTTACCTTGCAAACATGTCAACAGTGCTTGAATCAAAGAATGACTTTAGGACTTCACAGCAGGCAGTACCGAGGTCGTGACACCATCCTACAGTTTTGCAGACAGACAGCAACGTTTCGGACTTACATACTGCATCCATCGTCAATGTAGGAAAAGAGTGAAGCAATATGTTCCTCCAGAAGGTCTTTACCAACTTACAAGACTACACGGTGTCACAATCCAGAAGAGAACACTTTGGATGAAACTAGTCACCACAGTTAATCGTCCGATTAGCTAACTCCACAGTAACGAATATTATACAAGTTGAAAGTGGTTCAGCTGGTTAAGAAATTATCCGTCTTTTATGGAACCCGAAGGGCAAGTGGTAGCATAGTTGGTTGAGGCACTATGCTAAAAGCCGAGGGGGTTGCTGTTTCGATTCCTGATGAGGTCACTGGATTTTTCATTTGACCTAACCCTTTCAGCCGCACTATGGCCCTGGGGTCGACTCAGCCTCTAACAGAAATGAGTACCAGGAATCTTCCTGCGTGTAAATGTGCGGCCGGCGTATAAGGCTGACAACCTCACCGAAATCTGTGAGCCGATTGTCTAAAAAATGTGGGAGCTCCGACGTCTCACAAACCGTATGGGCTTCCACGTCTTTACCTATTCTTATTGAACCTGAAGGCTCATTACCGGGTTGAGAACACGGCAACATGGTAATTTCCGTTATGGTCTGGTACCACGTTCTAAAACGTGATAGGTAAATTGTTCCCTGTGCATGAGGACATACGGAGTGCTGGGGGTATAGCTCCACGCATTCATACTTCTGACACTAGATGGATGTGAACAGTCAGTGTCGTGCCCCGTCCGCCTTAACCCGGTACTCATAGGATAGAAGGCTAGCTCGGCGTCAGATCCTGTGTGAACCCCTCAAAGAGAGCCCATTGCCTCTGCCTGGAATCGAACTGCGACTCTACTATCGCTCATCCCGTAGTCTTCTTGCTACGTCGACCGAGCCATACGCTTCAAGTATCTGTGTTCCCCCGGGGAACCGAGAACCCATGAGCTCTGATACGCGGCTGTGGTTCGAGTAACAGGAAGTCGACATCATTCGCATTTCGTGTTAATTTTCCCTTGTGCGCGTCCTCGAATGAGGTCACCAGCTTCACTGAAATAACGGCAGAATTTTGACATATTCAAGCTAAAGGCGGTTACTGAAACATCTGCGTTCTGACTGCGCCTTCCATCATCAGACAACACTCGCACAGCTGATCAGCAAGCTTTTCTCTGTTTGAACCGTTGCGTGTGGAGTGACAGAGACAAGATGGCTGGCTATTTATATTGCGAACTTAACGCAGTTTTTGGCCATAATTAATTGGAGGCCCAGTACTGCTGCAGGAGCTAATTCGGTCTGCCCATTGGCTGACAGGTTGCAGTGCAGCACGGGACATGACTTTTGCAACAGGCAAATTTCACATCTCTCTCGGCTACTGAGACTATTCATTGAGATGATGACTGAACTGTGTACCTGCTAGGATCTGTCCGTAGTGTAATATTCTGAAAGAACATCACGTTTCGGAAACCGGATCTGTTTCCGTCCTCAGGGGAGACGTGTGAAGACACCTGTCCAACTGACTCCGTTTGAGAGGTCTAAATTAAAAATTCCAGTGAATGATATTATCTCTCTATAAGGGACACAGACTGGTCTTTTCACTTCATGCCCTTTCATTTGAGAAAGGAATGAGATCGAACCAAATTTCGAAAAGTCAGGTTATTTCTTATTAGCAAGGGGCTGAAGTCCAGATACACAGTAATCCCTAACATCAAATGATTGAGGATATTGTTAAATAAGGGAGCTTAAATCCCATAAAGACGAACTGCAAACCACATTTGAAAAAAATTGAAAATTAAGTAGTCTACTCTCCTTGTTGTTGCATTAAGTAACCTCTATTGAGTTTTGCTACAATAGAACCATTTTGTGACTCATGCTTTATCCCCTTAAAGCACAGCAGTAACTACGTATATGCACCGCTTCCTTGAACATTATGAATCTCTGCATTCTGCGCACTCAGTGTATTTGTGTGTTCCGTATGGTTCTCACAATAAACAGCGACTGTTTCCCCAAACAGCATTAACCGGGTCGTCTCTGTAGCGGAGACGTAATTTGTTTCCTGTGAGGTACGGACTGAATTCTTATATATAAAATCTCTGCATAAAATCTGATCATATGTTCTATCTTTACCAGAAGGACAAGCGGGCACTGCCTGGGAACCTTCAATATCGGAGATATAGTTTCTTACCGCCCCCCCCCCCAATGTAGTGTCTCTCACTACCACTCCCACTTCTTCTTCTTCTTCTTCTTCTTCTTCTTCTTCTTCTTCTTCTCTGCCCACACAGGGTATTTATGTGTTCCGTATGGTTCTCACAATAAATAGTGACTGTTTCCCCAAACAGCATTAACCGGTTGGGCTCTGTAGCGGAGACGTAATGTGTTTGCTGTGAGGTACGGACTGGATTTTTATATATCATTTTGGCTTCGAAGGGTTGATACACAAGCAAGGTTGAAAATTCGCTTTCAAATTTGAACTTTATCGTCGGATTTACAACGGTCGGTTTTCGTATACATAGATACTTGTTAGCCTGTGGGTTGTTTGTAATTGTGCCCTATGCATCAGGCAGGCTGCGCATTATCGAATTCTGAGAGTTCCATTAAATACCAATAAGCATTCAGTCCTCTTTTTGTATCAGGCTGGATTTCGTGGGATAAAATGAAACCACGCCTCATAAACACATTTACGCGTTAGAATCAGTTAGCAGCCAAGGGTCACAATTTGACACTTCATGGTGTCGAATGACATGGTAGCAAATTATGAATTGGAAAACATGAGAAAAGAGGCGGTCGTGGCCTATTTGAAGGCAATGTCCTCGAACTTGCCCGGAGGGACCGAGAAGAAGCACGAGAATTCTCATTCAAGATAATCGTTTTCTGACAAAGATTCGAACCTGACGTCTCATAAATAGTTTCCAGAAGTGGTGCTCCTTCAGCCATCATCCTCGGCTACAGAGTGTGCCTTTAAGCTGCTTATCGCGGGTGGAGAAATTCCTTTCGAAAGCTCCTCGGCGGACAAATTTGCCTAAATTTATAATATAAAAATTATATAACTTAATAATAAAGAGTCTGTTTTGAGAATGTGACAATCACCTAGCGTTTCTATGGAAGCCAAATGACCATCCTGAGCCGGATAAATCCATCTCGCTATTTAAGACCCGGTTATTGCGGCGTATAGACCCGTTGCTCGGGAAAGAAATCGAAACAGACGAGTACAGCCGTTGCTATGCAATATGCCGTTTCTGAGCAACGGCTCGGCAAACACGTTCCCGCGGAAACGAACACGCGCGCAACAACAGAAGAAGGGTGTTTTTTATGTGGTCCATAAAGAGTTGTTATAAAGAAGAGAATTGGGGCAATCCAGTTAGTAGAGGGTTGGCAGTTGAGTTGAGCTCTGCAAGGGCGGCTGAGAAGAGATGGCGCTGTGGTTGAGCTTTGCAAGGAAGACTGAGAGGAGATGGCGCTGTTGTTTAGTTCTGCACGGGCGACTGTGACAAGAGGAGCTGAGCGCGGAATGCTAACGACTCTATACTGTTAGAAGCCGTTGCTAGGGAAGGGCTGTTGAAGATACAGCAGGCTGGAAAAGGTTTAGAGGGTGCTGTGGTGATTTGTAAAGTGTAGAAATTAGCGGTAGCGCTGTAATTACTTGTAGTTACGAGTGGTGTGTGTAAGTCGTCAATAAATCCATTCATTGCCCGCCTATAGTCACACATAAATACGTGACAATATTTAAGCCGACATTTCCTAAAGAGTTTCTTCCCTTCAGATTATGCAGCGCCCCGCCTCCGTCACTTTCCTCGGTTCCTTCATCCCATTCGTATCTGGTGCAGTGCACACATCACGCAGTTTCCTCCATTCTCTTGTCGGTTCTTTCTTCTTAAAGGCAAAGTTATCCTGTGCCATGAAGGCGTATGGGGGAGTGCAGATATAGTTCCACCATTCTTAACCTCGACTCTAGATGGAAGTGAGTCACTTCCTCTGTGTTACGTCCACATATTCTTCTCGGCACCCTGCTCGCTTTCAGTATATCTAATTTGTTCAGGTCGACGGACCAAGTTTGACACCCGTACAAAACTAACAGCTACCTAATGAGGATCTTCATAATTTGCACTAGCAGACTACTGTTAGGATGACCATATGAAGGA